GCCTGGTGTCGGTGAAGAACCCCGACGTTGAAGCCATTATTCGGTAATAATAATGGTGAATTAAGCGTCTAGATTTGTTGAGGTTAACCCTTTCGAAAATTGTCTATAAAAATTCCATATGGAATTGATGTGGCTTGGGCTGGGAAAAGGAAAGAGCACCAAATGTTTCTTCGTTACCATTTTGGTTTCCATTGAAAACTCTATGAAGTTTGGTAAAGGAAGAGTTCGGGAAGAAGATGTTCAACAAATGATTATTACAACCTCGATCAGTGTAACAACCATAAGTTGAACATAAAGTTTGTTAGCCTGGCGGGAGCCTAAGATTCTAATGCATTTAATCCTCGTAGAGAGCAAAAGGGGAAAGGTCTTTCATGCACACAAAGTTGATATGACTCACACATCAAATCATCAAGACGTGTTTTTTTATTTTATTTATGCATTTTATTTAATCTTATTATTTATACAATTAATATGCAATTGTGTTTTTTTTATTAGTTTTAAAGTTTTCATAATGATTTTAATTAAGAAGTTGAGATATTTTATTTAATCTGGTTTTTGTATAAAAGTTAATACAATATGCCAATTTGTTATATTTTTTAAATAATGTGCTATGTGGTTTGTTTCGACCGTACATTTTTTACAAAAGAATATTTTAACAAAGTATAAAAAATATAAAAATTACACTTATTACGTTCGTAGATGATGTCACAATTCTATTAACTTGAAAATACGTACATTCCCACATTAGATAAACCATTTATTTTAGAGTGAGTCACAAAAATAATCCATGTGATTGGCACAATTTTGTAGTTTTATTTCTAATTTTTGGATTTTTTTTTTAATTGTCCATATTACAGGTTTGGATTACGCTGGGATGGGCAACGGGCCGGACCCAGACCGAACCGGTCCGAAGACCGTTTTGCTCATAATTTAGTGCCAAAAAACCGGATCAGTTAGGGTGTGTCGGGTTTTGGGTCTTAGACCGGATTTTAACAAAAAAATTATGTTTTTTTTTTCATTTTGAAAAATTATGAATGTATGTTACAGTGTAATAGCAGTCAAAAGTTGTCACCCAATGTTTTCCTTTTGGGTTCAGTGAGCCTTACAACTGCTCTACAGCCCCAAACTTTGAGATAACTCAAATTTGGTACCTTTTTATACCAAAGTTCATAAGGAGTATTCTCACTCCTTTTATTTGGAGTTCTATTCAAAATGTAACATGCAGTTAACATTGCCTCACCCCAAAACCCTTCACTTAATCCAGAATAGGACAACATGGAATTAACCATTTCTTTTAAAGTCCTATTCTTCCTTTCAGCTACACCATTTTGTTGAGGTGTATAAGGAGCTGTGGTTTGATGTATTATTCCAGTTGATTCAAAATAAATTGGATCATAATATTCACCACCTCTATCAGTACGCAAGACTTTTATTAATTCATTTTTATGAAGCTCAACTTGTTGTTTATAAATTTTAAATTTATCAAGTGCTTCATCCTTAGAATGTAGCAAATAGACATAACAATATCTAGATGCATCATAAATAAAAGTAACAACATACTTTTTGTTTCCAAGGGAAGGTGTTGCATGGAAATCACACAAATCACTATGTATAAGTTCCAACACCTTGCTTTCCCTAACAACATCTTTGAAAGGTTGTCTTGTGATTTTGGTTAACATGCATGTTTTACATTTTCCATTGTTTATATCAAAAGCAGGAATTAAACTCATTTTTGACATGTCTTTTAATCTCTTGTAATGAATGTGTCCTAGTCTAGCATGCCATAAATCAGATTTATTAAAGTTATTACTAGTACTAGAAGAAGCCATGCAAACAGAATTATCATAACTAGGATAATTAATGTTAAGCCTAATCATTCCATTACATACATATCCGAAACCCATAAAAGAACCATAAAAGAACCATGTCTTGACAAGATAATTAATGTTAAGCCTAATCATTCCATTACATACATATCCGAAACCCATAAATCAGATTTTTTTAAAATAATTTCAGACACAAGATTCTTTCGAATCCCCGGTACATATAAAACATTGTTCAGACACAAACATTTTCCAGAAGTAAAGTAAAGTAAAACAGATCCTAAACCCTTGATTGGTTCAGTTGCAACATTTACCATTTTCACCACAGATCCATCTTCAATTGGTTGATATTTCTTGAAACAACGAAGATCTTTACATATATGGCTTGTTGCTCCCGAATCAACCCACCATGCAACATCATCATCCTGTACATAAAATGCTTCAGAAATAACAGAAATATAATTCTGAATATATTTAGAATTCTGCATGGAAACAGAAATCTGACCTTGTTGCTTTTCTGGATCCTTGGATCCACTTGGTCCAGTACCATCCTTGTTCACTTTGCGAAGACGACAATCTTTTTTGAAGTGACCCGGTTTGTTACAATTCCAACAAACCAACTTAGCCTTCTTGTTGGAAGACTTGTCATCCTTTCCTTTAAACTTCCTTTTTCCATTAGACTTCTTGGGATTCTTTGAGCTTTCTCCTTCCACCATCTTCACAGAAGAGGAACCAACTTGGTTCTTGCCTTTAGGATTGTTATCAAGTTCTTGAGTCCTTAAGGACTCTTCAATCCATAAATGACTTCCAAGTTGAGTCAAAGTTAATTCCCCTTTGTTATGTTTCAGATTATGTTTAAAATCTTTCTAGGAAAGGGGCAGTTTGTCAATTATCACAGCCACAGAAATGGCTTCATCCATTTTCAGATTGTGTTGAGCAAACTGTCCTAGGATCCTTAACATTTCATGGAATTGTTCCATAACAGGCCTGGAGTCAATCATCTTGTAACCCATAAAGTTACTGACAAGAAACTTCTTTCTAGAAGCATCTTCAGCCATGTATTTGGATTCAAGAGAATCCCAAAGTTCTTTTGCAGATTCGAAATTTTGATAGATATCAAAAAGAGAGTCAGACATACCATTGAGAATATGACCACGACATATGTAATCATCATTTTCCCACTTTGATCTCCTTCTTGTTGCCTCCAAAGGTTCATCTTCAACAGATTCTGGTAAGGCTGGCATGGGTGTACTCAGAACATACACCACTTTCAGAGTGGTAAGGAGAAAGTGCATGTTCTTCTGCCATCTACGAAAATCTTGCCCTTCAAACTTGTTCAATTTGTCAAACTTGCTTGTCATATCCTTCACAAAATCACCACTTGCCATGATTACAGAATACTTCAATTTTTGTTAGAAAATAGGGGATGAATAGATTGCTTGGATTCTCTGAAAGTTGTGATTCACTATCAAATTGAAGTATTTCGATGGTACAGATCGAACACTCAATTGGATGAAATTCAGAGAATGAAATCTGAGAATGTATGTGAAAATGTTCTTCAAGATGTACCAGAAAAATGACCAAAAAACGGATATATCATTCATGTCTGAAAACTGTCAATAGACAGTTACAAACTGTCATAAAACTACCAAACCTGTCATTAAACGGATCTCAGGGAAAAAACATCTCGATCCCAGCCAGGGGCTCTGCTCCTTGGACCCCGCCAGGGGCTGCCGCCCCTGAGATCCCGCTCCCAGGGGCGCTGCCCCCGAACCCCCGTTCGTTTAGGGGCTTCGCCCCTAAATAACAATGTACTTTGAATCTTGAAAAACTTGAACAAGTGTGCACTCCTACACTATCCTAACTTGTTCAATATTCAACAAGATCACTTTTGGTCAACAAATTTAATCCTATTACACTTAAATAATATTGATGATATAGAATCACCAACATAAGGTGTGTCGATTCCGGTTTCGGATCCCAAACCGGGTTTCGGTTCTTGGACTGAATTAGACCATTTGTTGGGTTAAATGTTTGCTATACCATTACTCATACAAAGTCATATTGGACTCATAATCATATTTACATACAATATTAATTATGTAGAATACAAGTTTGTGGTTTAACAAATACAAAGATTTATTCTACATTTAAAAATGTTTTAGACAAAACTGTAAAATTGGTCCTGATTGTTTACCAAAAATTATGGATATAGTCCAAAAAGTTTTAGGTGCTGTTTGTTTTTTCTGAGGCAAAATGTCTGCAGTCTGCGGACCACATCTGTAGATCTCTGCAGTAGAATATGTGGACCAAACGTCTGCAGTCTGAAAAAAGAAGACTGTTTGTTTTTTTAACATTTGCGGGCTACTAAAATAAACTGAAATATAAATAAACTGATTTTTTTAAACTTCAAAGTGTTTTTTAATATTTTTATCACTTTGTTATAAATAATTAACAAATCTATATCAACTTTTATGTATTATTGTATAAAAATAAAAATAAAAATGGTATGAATTAATGTATATATTTGATAAAAACCAACAACTTTGGTTGTAAAGTTATAACTAAACATTATAATTAAGGATCAAAGAATTTGATACATAAATGAATGGAAATAAACTTCGATTTTTTCAATTAAATCCATTAAAAACGTAGTATAAATATTTTCTCGAGAAATTGACGATAGATAATTAAATAATGTTTTACAAAATTTAGCAAAAAAATATAAGAATATATTATGATTTTTTTTCGTATTTATATAAACAACTTCAACGACTATTATTGTAATAAATCTTTATTTATAAATTTGTCAAAAATATCGTGTTTGTATCGTCGAACGTTTTTTTCTAAGTTTTGTATTTTTTTTTGAAATTGTTTATCATTAATAAAGTTGGAAAAATATAAATTAAAAAATTTTTAAAAAAAATATAGATATATGTGTTTTTGTAGGCTAGAAGATGTCTGAAGATGTTAGAAGACTCTGGTCCACATCTGCGCCAAGAAGACGGCGCACAGAGATTTTTAGGTCTGCAGTCTTCAAAAAAAATAAACAGTCTGCGAAGACTAATGTCTGCGCGTGGTCTGCGCGGCGCATACACAAGAGGCCACACAGATCTGCAGAAAAAAAACAAACACCACCTTAGTTTCTATTTTATTTTTAAATATCAAATAAAGTTATTATATAATTAAAAAAACAAAAGGACGGCTCCACCCACCCCATTGCACCCTCCCTCCATGTTTCCACTGTCTTCCCCATCCTTTCTCGTCTTGCTTGACAGCTTTGGAGCAAGCATCAGAGTATGAACAAGTTAGCAAAGCCATCAGAGTACGAACAAGTCGGATCTCGTTTTCAGGTGTATCTAAGAGAACAATTGGGTTATGATTGTACGAGGAGGAGGCACCAATCGACAGAGAAGACGATTCCACAACCATCGAAGTTATAGAGGCGGTTTTGTTGACAAACGAATCATCAATAACATAGGGTTGATTTATGGGGTTCAACTCACAGATAATTGATTTAAGCCACAACGATAGATCTGAATGGTTATAATGAACATAATCATAAGCAAGCTGAGACAACTCATCATCGGTCCCCGAAACACCCTCCAAATGCTCTATCTTTTGCCCACCATCAACCATATCAGACGACTTAACTTTGTAACCAAGCACCGCCAACAGCTCATCAATATTGACATCTTGCTCTTCAACCTTATCCCATAGCTTTGATTTCCTGATCACATCTAAAAAACCAGAAGCAGAGGCGGCAATGGTGGAGGCAGAAGTGGAACTACAACCATTAAAGAAGGTGTAATCATGTTGTGGGTAATCTCGTTTCATTTTTCTTCTTCTTCAAATCCTTTTTTGTAGATCTTAAATCCATCGATTGGGGATGGGGAAAGGGGTATGTGTTAACAATTTGTGAAAGGGTGGAAGAATTTGAGCATTTTGTGATTGGGGAAGCGATGATAGTGCTAGTGATTATTGGAGAGAGAAAGTATATATGGGAAGCCATGAAGAAGATGAAGAAGAGAGAGTGGGTTGAGGATCGATGCACATGTCTCGAAGTAGAGAGAGAGGTGAGCCCATTTTTTCTTCTTTGTTTTTAATTAATAAAGATTAAAATATGAAACGTCCCCATTTTTTAACATAAATTTTTCATTTTTAAAAAAACACACATAACATAAATTCAAAAGCCCATTGTCAGTAAAAGATCATTGACATACATTTATTAAACTTAAAAAAGAGTTTTAGAGGAAGTCTAAAAACATTATTAATTCATTCGATGCGAGTACAATCATGCTAAAACATTTCCACGATTAGAAGAACAACCTGAAAATATTTATTCAACGTCTGTAAGCTAAGGCTTAGTGAGTTCCCAAGATATCATATACCACAATACATATACATGTATACAAATAATGGTTCACGACCTTTCTCCGCTCCACCGTTAGCATGTGTCTAGACTCCTGGCCTATCGTCGTTCTATCTTCAACACGAGTCTATAGGCTCACGGCCTGACACCGTTCCACCGTCAACTCTTCGCATAACCATAATGAATAAATCAGGTATATTGCATTAAAACACACAGAGACTACACTTGGGCTCTACTCTACTATATCCCATATCCTAACATATATGGATATATATTATAATACATGGTATAGTGAGATAACTCTCCTAATTACGATAAGCACAACAAGTGCGTATCACGTAACTGAGGTATAGCTCGGAAAGCTGCGAGCGTAACTCACCTGAAATTCTTATTATTTTCCTCTTAATCTTAAAAATTTTAAGTTGAGAATATGAATAAATAACCACAATGCCTATTCACATGTGATTAAAACGAACAAGCCATGAAAACTTAGTGAGATCAGCACGAAATTTGCCGCAATGATGTATACTCTTGGATTTCGACGAAACGTGCACGATACATCGAAAATCGTGTGATTTACAATACTCATAGCTTTGCCATGGCATAAGGTGTTTTTCGGTCGTTCGGAACTGTTTAGGGTCTCGAAACAAAGTTTTTCCATTTTTCCAATTATCAAAAATAGTTATTATTTATTCACATGTAAATATATCATAGTAAACTATTTGTTTACCCAAATATATGTTATTAACCAAAAAAATGTTTATATGTATGCTAATATCATATAACTAACATATAAAATTGATTAGAATGTATAAATACATTTTTTTACAATTATAAGCATCGTTTTTTATACATACAACGTTTTCATTTGAAGAGAAATACATATTCAAATGACAAAATACACATATGATATGTTTTATACATAACGTTTTTATATATATAGCATTTTCATAAATTTTTTTATATATTTTTATACGTGTAAAAATATTTTTATAGTTAACATTACAGTTAAATATGTTAAATGTGTTAAATCACGTTTAAATATATAAAAATACACTTTTTATATGCTTAAATATGTTTAAAAATGTATATTATAATTTTGTTGACGTTTTTACTTATCGGACATATACTGGTAAGCCTTTTTAATTTTGAAGGAAAAGGCATGAGATAGATCCTATGCAAGGGCAGTTATTTTTTATTTATTTTGTTATTGAATACGGGTTATATTAAATTGTTCAGCAACAAATGTACAAAATTGTATCTACCTAAGGTCGCGACAATGGGAGCAAGAGATCACTTGTTCTAGTCCTTCCCAAGCCTCTCTTTGGCAAATAATATTTAATTTTTAGTAAGAGAAAGAATGCTGGTAATTGGAAAATTAGTTATTAGCTTGAAAAGCAAAATGATAACCGAAACATCAGCTGCTAGCTTATAAGTTAGCCGATAACGATTGACATAAAATTAGATGATAAACTAGTTTGAAGATATAAAATGACATAAAAGAGTATTTAAAAAAATAATTTTTTTTATAATTAATTAAATGTATATTAGATTTTCTTTTAAAGTTCATAAAAAGATAGTCTAAGGTTGTGTTTGACGCACTACATCTAGCTGACAAACTATCTTATTTTTCTAATGTTTTTTTTTAAGTTGTCATGTTTGACAAACTAAAATGTAGTTTATAAACTAGCTTAGCTACTTGGACTAGTTTTTCAGAAGTTTTTTTTTTCTTTTCAAATATACTCTTAATTAATTATGAAAAATATATTCTTCAAAATGCCTTATTATGTTATTTTACCAAACGTCATTTTTATCAGCTACTTTGTCACACCCCGGTCGGCGGCTCGGCGGCTGAAACATCGAGCTATGTAGATTATTCATAGATCATAGTTATTAAACATACATTGAACATTACAAAACTAACAACGTAAAACACATACTTCTATTAATACGGAATAGAAATTACATTGTTTTCGTTCAACGAATACATTGTAATTACATCAAAATCAAGAGTATAAAACATGCCTTAACAAATAGACATCAAATACATAAAATAAAGAAGTGTGATTGATAACAAATACAAACTCCCAAAAGTATTTCTGAGTGTGTGTGAGATATTCCAACTTTTTGTGTTCCTCATAATACATGCTTTGAAAATATGTCAATATAAAGTTGGTGAGTTCACATGTTTTAACTATATGTACTTTTATAACAAAAATATGTTTATACACTGTATAAATGTTTTTCCAACTTATATAAAAATTTACTTTTTATAACAAAAAAACATATGTTTACAGTATATAAGTGTTTCCAACTTATATAAAATAGTACTTATATAACCAAAGGTACACGTTTACAGTATATAAGTGTTTCCAACTTATATAAAATAATATTTTTTATAACAAAAAAATATGTATTTATAGTGTATAAGTGTACCAGACTTATTTGTAATCGTACTTGTAAACCGTACAAGTATGTGTGTTGTGTATAAATGTTTACTTATAAAATATATAAGTTTTACAACAACAAAAGTTTGTATAATTTCGTATATAAGTGATTACGATATATATATATATATATATATATATATATATATATATATATATATATATATATATATATATATATATATATAATATTGTACAAGTATGTGTGCTTTTAGAGTGAGCTCGGCGCTACCACAAGACTATAACCGAGTTATATGACAAGTTACTGTTGGCGAGAGTGAATATTGCATGAGATCAAACTATCTTTGGCTAGTATTGAGAAGATCAGATAAACATGGAAGTTATTGGGTGTTGTTATTGTCATATCCCTTCCTTGTATAGTTCCTCATTTTGTGTACAAATCCCTATATATGTAATCCCTCTGTAAAGAAAAAAGATATATAGAAAAAAACCCTTCATACGAATTTCTTGTTTTCATGGTATCAAAGCATACCGTTTGAAACTCTTTGAATCAAATCGAAAATCACCCCTCGAAGAACAATGACAGACAAAGACCCCATCCCTCCTCAAGAACCTCGCCTGGTTGTTCAGGATGCTCCCTTCCCGACTGGGATCATCCTCGATGACACGAACTATTAGTTGTGGTCTCAACTGATGGAGATGAGGATTGAAGCACGCAATAAACTGGGATTCCTAACCGGATCCTCCAAGAAGCCTGGATCCGGTGAAAAACAAATCGAAAATTGGCTCATGGATAATAATCGGGTCAAGAGTTGGCTCATAGAATCGATGAGCCCCACCTTGATCCCGAGGTTTATCCATTTGAAGACGGCGAAAGAAATCTGGGACGCGGTGGCAAAGACGTTTTATGACGGGTCGGACGAAACTCAGTTGTTCGAACTGAATCGTAGGTCATTCAGTACAAGACAGAATGGACGACCACTCGCAGCATACTACAACGAATTGATAGGGATCTTTCAGGAGATCGATACCCGGATGACGGTCGAGGAAGATGATGTGAGCCATGTAGTTTCGATTAATAAAATATTAGGGCGTCTCCGAGTACACATCTTTCTTGCAGGGTTAGATGCAGAATTTAACCAAGCACGAGGGGAGATCCTAAGAAAAGACCCACCCTTGGATCTTGAGGCATGCTATGCCTTCATACGAAAAGACCAGTCCCAAAGAAACACTATGGAAGACGTGAAGAATGAACCTGATAGTTTTGTGCATCTCACAACTCAAAATCGCCCTCCAAAAGAAAAAAATTCCAGCAACAAAAAAAACACTTTTGTGTTTACTCATTGTGGAGAAGAAGGGCACTCAAAACAGAAGTGTTATGAGATCGTAGGTTACCCGGAGTGGTGGGATTTTTCAAAGAAGCCACGAAGGAAGGTGGGACAAGCCTCTATGGCCAGAACAAAGAATGATGAGGCAAACCCAATTGCTGCCCACGTTGAGTCATTCAACAACCATGGTATGTCAACTACAACTAAGCCTGTGATTAGTGAATGGATTATTGATACAGGTGCGACGGATCACATGACAAATGATCCGTCTAAGCTGGCATTAAAATCCCGGCCTAAGCAAAACATGGTGAAAACAGCAAATGGGAGCTTAGCAAAAGTAACATGTGAAGGTTCTGCTCAAGTGTTAAATTCCATGAATCTTGACACTGTCCTAGTTGTTCCATCCTTGTCATCGAATCTATTATCTATCAGTCAGATCATAGATCAACTTAATTGTTATGTCACTTTTGGGCCAAAAATATGTGTGTTTCAGGACATTATGACGAATTGGACTCTTGGCTATGGTATTAGGAAGGGCAAGTTGTACTATCTTGAAGAAGAAAGACCAGCTGAAGCGTACAACATGGAAGAAGGAAGTTCTTTATCTTGGTTATGGCATCGTAGATTAGGGCATTTGTCGTTTGGTTATTTAAAAAAACTGAAACCTGAATTATTTTTGAATAATAAACAGTTTGATTCTAATTGTGATGTGTGTGAAATGGCCAAAAG